CACGGTGGCGCAACTGGTAGAGCTGCTGCCTCTCAGCGAGCAGGTCCTTGGTTCAAACCCCGGTCCAGGGGCCTTCTGGGTGGAGTTTGTATGTTCTCTCCGTGCATGCGTGGGTTTTCTCCGGGTGCTCCGGTTTCCTCCCACAGACCAAAAACATGCATGTTAGGCTGATTGGTAACTCTAAATTGTCCCTAGGTGTGAGTGAGAGAGTGAATGATTGTTTGTCTCGTTTGTCTCTGTGTGGCCCTGTGATGGATTTGCGACCCGTCCAGGGTGTACCCCGCCCCTCGCAAAGTGATTGCTGGACATGGGCACCAGCGACCCCCGTGACCCAAAATGGAACAAACGGGTAAAGAAAATGGATGGATGGATGGATGGATATATAAAGAGGCATGTATAAACTGAATTTATGGCAAAGAAAAAAAATTCTGGGTTTTCTTTTTTCTTTTTCATATTCACAACACTCTTTCTCTAAATGTCACACTATTTGTGAGTTTTATTTGTATTTAATTGACGAATAAGGAGGACAGAAGCCAAAACCTGACACTACAAGACTGACAAATTAATCACAGAGACACAATCTAACCTAGAGCTACTGAAAGCCAGCAGATGATGCACACTGTGGAGGACATTAGTGATGCAGGACAGGTGTAATTATTGGCAAATAAAGATCCTTTGTGAAGAGTTAGCAGAAAGATAAACAAACTGAAACAACCAGAAAACAAACTAAGGACCACATAAAAGAGCTGAATTATGATCAAAATTATAGCAAAAATTTCAACTACGGTATATCCTTTATGTCGCTCGCCACCTTTCATGTGAAGATTTAAAACAAACATGTTGTATAATCTATTGGTGCTCAAAGTATGTGATGGGGATGGTGCTCAGCTACTATCACACAGAAGTTTAGCTCATTGCCTAAAATGACTGAGTAATAGCAATTTTTGTGTTTAAAGTTGATTAGCTGTGGCAGTCTGCTTGAATTGAGGTACACTCCATAAATCATTTAGTTATAGAGATGCAAACTAATTAATTTCTTAGAGTTTCACTCAGTGGTTCATGAAATAGTTTAATAAAAGTCAACACCCCCCCCCCACACACACACACACACACATATGCAGTTACACGATCGCCCGCCTTTCATTGCTTTGTCTAAAATTAGAAGCAGAAGAAAATCAGAAGAAGAATTAGTTGGGAAATTCAAACCTCAGACAGTGTTGCTGGCAGCTCGAGAGAGTGAAATGTTCAGCTTAAGGTGAGTTAGAGGTCTTAGTTTGGGATCATTGACCACTCGATGCTGAAAACAAGATGAAATAGTTCACAACACATTCCACCACCACAAGTGCAACAGAACAGAAGAGAAGAGAATAGAATAAAATAGCACTTTGCTGTTGTTTCTTATGCTCTATGTAAAGCACAATGAAAGACAAAAAAATAGAATAACAAATATATTCCACTATACAATTTTGCAGACAGCAATGTTAAATGTGTATCACGACCTCATGTTGGATTTTGATGACCTGTTTCTGCAAATTTCACCATTTTTTTTGCAAATGATCCGACATTAAAGAAAAAATAAATAACAGAATACAATGTTTGGACTTTTGGGGTATTCTGAGAAGTAGTTTTATCTTTGTTCAACACAGTGTTTCAGAAGTGATGATGTTGTTAGCTGCTCTCTTTGCAAGTAAATATTTTTTTCAGTATGGTACATTTTCATAAATAAAACTTACACAGTGCTTCTTAATAAAATAATGTGGTGTATAATACAACAAAATAAAAAAAGATTTGGGTAACAGGCATACAAAATTGTGAAAAATAGACAATCAAGCAAAAATATAAATTAAATAACAGAAAACTTGTCTGAATAAAAAAGGACCCTCTTGGTTTTTTTAAAGAGAAAACGTCAGTGTTTTAATTTTTACCAGCTGAGTGTGAATTTTGACCAAAATTATCAATCCTTTGCCTTGACCTGTTACACAGTTTGTGACTTCAGAATTAAAAGCTGTAATGCCTGACAGTGGCCTCATAAATGAGTTCATCAATTTGTCCAGGTGACTCGACACACAAACCACAAACTCAATCAAGTTTAGTGAACAACAAATGTAAACACATGCACAGAGACTGCTGGTTAGAGCTGAGGGACAAAGTGGATCACATCCTTAGAGAAACCAAACAAGCTCATCTTAGCCATCCTGGACTCCACTAATGCACTACTCTGAGTGGAACAAAGACTCTTCCATCATAAACAGTCCACTCTACTGGACCATTTAAACATTTTTACAATGAAGCAATTCTTTTCTGGTGCATGTGTGAATGCAACATGCCTATGTAGACCTTTAAAACAAGTCTGAGAATATTTGGAAAGTGCCACAAGAATGGAATACCCAGAGCAAAAGGACTGATGATTAGCATCCCAGAAAAAAGTATAAATTCAGAGCTTTTATTTACAGTGATCAATGATTCAGAACAAAACAAGAACCCTGGGGAGCAAAGAGATGGGTCAGGTCCAGAGTTCTGCAAAGAGGGTTGATCAGAACATGCAGGTTCCTTACTGGTACATGGCAAGTAAGATGTTTGGTTCCAAAGTCTTGTACAATCATGAGAAGATCCAGTGGTGGTAGTCTGGCACCTTCTGGTGAGCAAAAATGGAGATGGAACAGGAACTCCCAGAGAAATACTTTCAGTAGAGGTTACAGCCGTCATTTTGGACAAGCATAATGGGACTGTGTTAGAAAAGCTAATTAATATTTGGAACAAAGTCTACTTCATCATTAATATGGTGAAATGCTCCTGTGTGTAAAAGGTAAATCACAACGATTTAGTACATTCTCCCTAAAACAGATAAATATAAAAAGGTGAAAATTACTGTATGCTTGACACAGGCAACATATTTGCATTTTACTTGTTTGCATTTATATCAATCACAACATGAGTTTGACTGTTGTAAATAGAAAAAAAAAAGTGTTGGACAACTTTGACTCTAATGATTATTGAAATATGAGTAACAGTGGAGATGATAAAATGATGGTCACATGAAAACATGTTGCAGTAACTGTGTCTGAATAAACATTTAAGCATTATATTTTTTAAAAGCATTGTATTGAAATGTGTCAAGAAAAAAACAAAAGACAAAATAAAAGTGTTAGAACTTCCATGACTCATTACTGAAAAAGTATATGAACCTGTAAGATTAATATAAAATATAATGACTGATATGTGCCATTGTTTTGTTCAGCTGAGCAAAATTATCAGAATATTGAACATTAACGCTGGTTAACGTCCCTGTTTTAAATCTTCTCTAAACTGGAATGTGTTGCTATTTGCACCATTAAAAGATATCTACAGATGTATGTGCAAAATGAAGGGTAAAGCGTTTATTACCGCGCAGGTCATCAAAAACAGTAAGATGTGGTTTGTTGTGGATGTTTTAACAATAAAAAATGTGCGTGGCTTTTTTTTTGTTTGTTTGTTTGTTTTCCCAAATTCTCTGTCAGATGACAGATTTATTCATAATGTGGAAATTGGGGACAGTTTTGGAAAACATTTAGCTAAAACTTTGAATTATACATTTATTTTCTAAATTTGATATGCTTACTTCTGCTGATCGTCCAAATTGTGCATCCTGTATTTGTTCTGCAACTTTTTCCTCACAACAACACTTCACTGATAAAGCCAAATGGTTTT